TTAACATAATGACACAATCGCTAAAATTCTTCAAGTATTTCACTGCAGTGATGTTCAACTAGTCTACAGCAAGCTTAGAGATAAGTGTTTACATTCAGGACACCAACTAGCACATGTTTAACACCTAGAGATTCTTCCTGGACTGATATACCCAACCAACAAAGAAGACGTAAGAATAGTGAGAAGATTCTTCAGGCATGAAAATCCAAAATTATTTTCAATTAGTGCTTATGTTATATTACATTTTAGATGGTTTGATCAGAAATGTCTAGTTATTAAATTTAATTTCCTCAATTTATACTTTACCTTAATGGAATTCCCTAATGATTTTAATATTTAGCACTAATCTAAAAATTGACTCTTAATTCTACCAATATCTACTAATACTATCAACTTTCCCTTGTTTCAAATGAAACACAAGTTGCTGATTAATTTGTTTCTGCTATGTTCAAGGTCCTAATATTTCACCTATGTATTTTCCTCTTGACACAAAGTTGTTATATCAAATGTATCTTTATAATGAATCGTTTTTCAAATTGCTAAAATGTATGTTTCATTTTACAATGTTAGGATTTCATTTGGAGGATTTTAAAAAATTATTTCTCTAAGTGTTTAATACCTCCTTTCTATCAACATTGTCCTATTTTTACTAATATTAGTTTGCAATATATATCCCTTAAGATGCATTATATGCTAATATACCAAATAAAAATGTAAATGTAATGAAGATATTGGATTGTTTGAAATCACAGTAAAAGAAAGCAAATTTATTATCTTGCCAAGAGACATTATTTATAATCTATCTTATAAAGTGTCTATTCTGATCACTTAAAATAATACCCTGAGTATTTCATTGCTTCATATTGTAGGCCTTTCCTGCTAATCTATCAATTTGAGAAGAGCATGAAATACTTATTATATGTTCCTATTAAGAACAAAATTATTAAAAATCTTATTTTTCTATAATGCCAACATAAATGCCCACTTATAGGATATGGGCATTCTCCCACACTTAATGCCCCACTACTAATAAAAAAAAAATAGGAAAAAAAAAGTTCTTACCAACAATTCCACTGGTTATCGTCCCCAGCGAACCCCACCTAGCAAGTCGACATCATGACATGTCAGGTCAGGGCAGCCTCAACCTCGCTTCCCTGATAGTCAGGTGATAAAAGGAAGGAGTTAAAACAGGAAAAGTATACTTGCAGATTTCTGGATAACATCTGAAAATGATTTAAAAAAACAAAAACAAAACAAAAAAAACCCAGAGCTTCTGGTAACCTCTAAACAAAAAAAATATATATGCATACACATTTTAAAAGAAAACTTTTCTATAAAGATTAACAGTAACTACTTCAAATTAAAATATTTAAATTACTGACCCATGCTTTAAGTATGCAATATTTTTAAAGCTTGGTGTTTGCATTTCGAAGATGAGAACTAATCAACAAACTTCTATGCAAAAGTAAACATGACTGGTTAATGGATTTGTCATTCTGGATTCTCTAGTCGGTTATCCACTTCATTACTCCACTTGCTTACTCTGAACAACTAAGTTAACAGAAGCTCTCATTCTTAGAGGAACATAAACACACTTATAAATCCAGTGTACTCTTTCTATAAGGCTTTTTCATAGCTCCTCAATTAAGAAACTTCACATAATTAATGATATCATTAATATTACTATTTCTTCCATATTACTTTGATTATAATGGATAGCTCAATATAATAAAATTATCTTTGGAAAATCAAAGCAGCAAATTTTAACATAAGGAGTCTTTAAAATTAACAATAGCCTTATAGCAAGTATTTACTGGAAGGGTTTGGTTTTACAAATAATACACAATTAATAAAACGTAGGTATGATTATCCAAATGGGCAGGAGGCAAATGATGTAATGAGTTTCAAGAATATTATATGGCTTTTCGCTAGGAATAGAATTTTATATCCCTTCTCTTTTGAAATTTAAAATATGCAATTTATTTTTATGTAGTCTAACCTTTTTAAAAAAGAGGGTTTGCCTAAGTCAGATTCCAAAGTCAAGTGAGAGAAAAATTGTTTATTAATAGAAAGCATTGGGCTTTCTTATGCAGAATAACCAAAGGAACTAAAAAAACTAAAAAATTATGCTGAACTCTTGTTTAAAAAAACTAACTTCAGAACCATAGTAACTTAATTTCCATATTAATTGACCAAATGTGGATTTATTAAAAAATCTGGCAACTTATTAGAACATTTTTGCTTTTAAAAAATTAAAACAATGTCATATACATACATTTAAGCAACTGCTATAAATGAGTGATCAAATAAAAATTAGAATTCCATTATTGGGAAGGGGTATATTTATGCCAATCTCAGAAGGGTAAATACAAAAGAAGTCTAAATCATCATAAAATAAAAACTTCCTAACACACATTAATATAGCAGGCTCATAAATAAAATCAAATGAATTAGGTTGGGGAACAAAAAGATGATAGGAGTATAGAAAATCAAATTTCCCAAAACTCATATAATTTGTGCCTATTAAAAACAAAAATGAATGCAAATCTAGAATAAAGACCTTCCTCAATGGACATTTTTCAGATTTAGATATTAGATTTAGATTTCTGGGAAAAGTTGAGCTTTGAATCTATTTTTTCTGAATGCTGCTACAGCAATAGTTTAAAAAGACAAGGTAAAAGCTCTAAAGTGAGACTTAATGTTTATAAAGTTTTATTTTACTGCTAAATAAATGGATCTATAAAACAATATTAGAGGAACATTTTTTATAGATATATTTTTAATTGGTGAGAATAAAGTATAATTTGCAATCGAAGAATGAATTTGATATGGAACCCAAGTTTTGTTCTTATGTTTTTGCTGGAGTTTTATATTTTAGGATGGGTGGAGGAAGCATCATTTTATTCCAAGTCCTAATTCCTTTCATGGTAACTTTGTAGCTGGTACCATTTAATTTTTAAGAAATACAAACAACTCCAATTTTATTTTTAGATCCTTTCTTCTTTCCAAAAAAAAAATCAGGGTTTTATTCAAGTCTAATTTAAATTTATAATAAGCTTCAAGTTGTATTTTCAAAGTTTAAAAGCAGTAAAGAATTTTCGGTGTCTTTATTTTTATACATGGGCATTAAAATACATCAACACAACTGGATCTAAGCTTTATCAAATACATACCCATGTTGACCTGAAACTACTCTAAAACAGACTATATAATTCCTTTATCAGTTTATAAAAAAGTAGGAACATTAGTAAGGCCAGTTAACTTACTGTACTATGTAATAAGCACACTTTTAAAGAGAAATAAGATATACTTTCATCAAGAAATATTTTATTAGAAACCCAAAATATAATCTAATCAAACTTGTAAAAAATTAAGTGGCTTATAATTTTGAAATCTAGCGCTGTTATAATGGACACCAAATAGAAACAAAACACAAAATAAGGTGTGTTGTTTTTAATTATTTCCCAATGGCTTGTTTTTATAATTTAAAAAGTTAGATCCACCTAAAAACAAAATGGAAGGGAAAATTTTGTAGTAATTTGAAAGTGATCCAGACTTTCCTGTACTGTAAAGTTTGGATTCTTTTGTTCCTCTTATTCTCAAGCAAAAAGGCCATTACAATAAATCAGAATTTCTAAAGGAAACAGGGAAAGAGATTATGATCTGGCCAACAAAAACTTTGGCCATTAGGGGTAGTTAAAAAAAAAAAAAGGTGTTAACCAAAAGTCAGAAGTATATTTATTAGATATTTTTAAGCCTCTCTTGTAAGGCTTGTGTTTCTCAAAACTAATTTACATAGCAATAGCAAATCACATTCCTGAGCTGAAGTGGCAGTCCCGATCATGTGTACTAAAACTGAGTTTCATCCGTAGTGCAATTGACACCACAATACTAACATTTTTTCCTGTTACATATGTATTCACTTATTCAGCAAATAAGGGCTCAGACAACAAATTATCCTTTATAGGAACAATGTGGGTCAAAATAAATTGCAGTCTGCTTCCCTAATCCCACTTTATTTCACATAAATTAGCCAAGGCCTGCAAGAATGTTCAAAAGCCATTGAACCTGTTTTATAAAAATAAGGATAAAATTTCAAAATTTAAGAGACTATGAGAGAACACCAATCAATGAAGTGCTATTTGGAATAAATAATAGTATTTAGACTAAGCCTCAGTCTGATAGCCACAATACGTATTGAAATAGACAAGAAATTTTGCATGAATTTGATCACTCACATAGGCAGTTATAGTTTGAAAACAATATTCCTTGCAAGGATTACGAATAAAAATAATGTTTTAGGACACAATTGAATTTGAAATAGGTAAGTTTTGAATAGATTTTTGAGTTTTATTGAAATCTTACATTAACAAGAAATTGGAAATACAATCACATCAAAGAACAAATTGTCACGGCTTTGACGTTTAAGCCAAACAAATTTTGTAGGGCAGATTTCAAAAAGGTGTGAAGTAATAACAATTTAAAAACACAGTTAACCTACTTCTAGGAATGCAAAACATACAATCATAGGTTATTTTCAATACAAGAAAACTTAAATTTTTGTTTGCTTTAATTTCTTAAAACTACTAAGACAAAGTACTAGCTTGTATTTTTATTTACAGCATACTTCATACTCCTATGTATCTATCTCAAATGCAAAAAAATGAAACTGTCCAAAACTAAAGGTTCTGCAAAATCATGATTTAACAGTGTGCTCAGATTGTTTTGAAGCTAAAAATGAAGCCTGAAACAATAAAAGCGTTGTAATCCCCAGAATAAGGGAACTCTGCAAGCCCAATAATGTCCAAGAGCAATTATGAAAAGAGGAAAAAATAAAAAGACTTGAGTATATACACAATAATGATTTCTTCAGCCCAATACAAATGGCAGCAAATTGCTAAAGATGAAACAGTTAAGCCAATTTTTGTGTTTTTTTGAAGAATGTAGTAGATCTAGAGCCAATCATGTCTTGCCAATATCATTTTCAAGCCCTCACTTGTCTATTTCCACTGTTGCCCATAAGTATCCTGATAAAATTCCTGGTTGTCATTATTGTAACCATAGTTACCAGTATAGTCACCACCTTGTTGAAGCGGCTGCTGAGCGATGGGTTGAGAACCCCAGTTCTGTTGGTTGTTGGTCTGACGGCGCTTGGAATCAGGTTGGTTGTACCCATCTGCCTTTCTCTTGCCACCTACATTGCCCCCACGATTGCCCCGAGAGCCACGGGAACCACGGCCTCTCTGCTGTTGTGACGGACCCCCTCTGCCACCCCTAGAGCCTCTTGGTGGTCCCAAAGGTGCCCCCCTCTGTGAATAGCCAGTTCTACCTCTTGGAGGTGGTGCTCCCCGCCCCCTTGGTGGTGGTGGAGCACCTCGCCCTCCCCTTCCTCCTCCTCTTCCTCTTACTGCATAGCCATCATCATAGCCGTAGTAGGGATCTTCATAGCCTCCACGATAGTCGTGATAATCATAACCATAGTAATCATCATAGTAATCTTCATAGCCATAGTAATCTGGAGGGTAGCCATATCCACCTCTCCCCCCACCACGACCCCGACCTCTACTTGGAGGTGGCATGCGAGGAGGAGGGTGATAGTAATAATCTTCATACCTAACAATGGAGGGAAGGGAGAAAAGAAAAAACAAATTAGCTTACTTCATGACTCTTTCTGATTTTGTTTTATTAACCTGATCTCCGCTATCAAGTTATTCTCTGTTCAAAGATGTATTTACTAAAATGCAGACTCACGCAGTGCTTCTGGAGGCCTGTCTAGCAGCTTGACGTTCTTTTCTTTTCTTGTCTGGTGGCTTGGCTAAGACTATTTCAATTTCTTCCCCTTCTATTTCTTTGCCATTCATTTCATCCATGGCCTATACAGAATTAGAAAAATAAATTTATTTTACAAGTAATACTTTAAAACATAACTACATAAGCATATCTGTGCCAGTTAATACACTAATAAACAATTTAAATATTTTAATTTGCAAATGATGAGTCCAGCCACAAAGTATAAAAAAATAATGGAAGTACCTGTTTCCCTCAATCTCACCCCCTCTTATATGTAAACAATAATGAGCAAAAAACTGAAGCCCTACTCTTATATTTAAAAAAGTAAAAGGATCACATATTGCTGTTCCTTAATTCAAATAACCAACTCTTCAATGCTTAGCCATACTAAAGAGGCAAATCCACTCATGGGAAAGATGCCAGTATCACAAACTTTTCAGGATTCCAAGTTTTAATAAATATATAGCATTCAATATGTAGGTGTTCTTACATTGTTCTTCCATAAAAATTTTAAGGGAGGAGAGGATAAGAAATCAACCAAAGAACTTGTATGTATGCATATAAGCATAACTAATAGTTACAGACACTAGGGGGGTGAGGGCATGTGCTGGGGGATGGGGGAGGCCATGGAGAGGTCAATGGGGGGGGGGGGGGGGAAGGAGACATACGTAATACTATATGTAATACTTTAAACAATAGAATTTAAAAAAAAAATTAAAAAAAAAATTTTAAGAATGGGATATACAAATGAGGTCATTGATAAGATTAGCAGTGAAATTTAACAAGAAATTGACACAAACACAGTCTAGGTTTCCCTCAAAACACTTCATCTGGAACATACTTTGCCTAAACAAAAGCACAGAGCTTAGAAAAAACCTGACCTAATGAAGTACTCACCTGGAGGACAATAATCAAAAGCATTCTATGCTCTAGTCCTTTATTTATGTTGTTCCACCTTATAGCCTCTGCCATGCTTCAAGGTTCAGGTGACTCTAACAAAATATCACCTCACCACAGTTTTTCTATTTCCCTAAACAACCATTTCTTCTTTAGACATATATAAATGCTCTTGGCATAAAGAGCATTTAGTGATTTACAAGTATCCAGTCAAATCCATCCTTGTCTAGATACTAATTTTCTTCCTTTACCACCTTAGCTTTTGGCTACTTCAGCTAAAACTAAATGAGGCTATAGAAGTTTCTGGTCTAAACAACAGAATAGAGCAACAGTCGCCAACCAGTGGTCCATGAGGTCCGAAAGGTTGGTGACCGCTGAAAAGAGCATCTCCTCGCTCACCTGGCTATAGCGGTGAATGTGATTCCCAGCTGCTGAGCTAAAAATTTTGTAATTTTACAGACTTGTTTGGCAAACCACCTTACCAGTTTTTATGGACCCGTTATTTAATATCAATTAAATCAAAGGACTATTTAGATGGTATAAACTTATTAGTTATCAGTGTTTCATACCATTGGCAATTTCAAAAGGCATACATTAAATTCTGTACCAAATTGTGAATTTTATAAGCAATAATGTTTAATTAATTAGCTGCCATGAAAAAGCAAATCAATCAATTCCAAATAGTCAAAGATTTTCTACAAGGCACATTTAAAAGCAGTACCCTGGGCAAAGGCCTGGGAGAGAAAAAAGCTGGATGGAGGGGGCAAAGGAGGGAAAAAAGGGAGACATCTGTAATACTGCCAACAATTAAAAAAAAAAAAGGCAGTATCCTGGACAAGAAAGAAAACTGATCAACTACCGTGTTTCCCCAAAAATAAGACATTCTCTGAAAATAAGACCTAGCACATGGAAAGATAAGACATAGCGCAACTTTGGGAGAAGAAATTAATATAAGACACTGTTTTATTTTCAGGGAAAAGGGTAAAAGGTGGTACCACTCACTCCACCAATAAAACATGTAGAAAAAAATACCAAGACGGAGCCAACTGAGAATTCTGGATCCATCTTCCCAAGTACAAAAAGGCGCCATGAATGAATGAATGAATGAATGAGAAAAGCTTTTATTAGTGTCATCTGTCCCCACTACTGCCAAAAGACAGAGAACAAGGGGAAAAAGAAACTAGAAATTTCACCCATTAAAGATGGCACTGATGCTCAGTCAGTGTTGCTCAGTGGTTGAGCATGGACCCACGAAATAGGTTACATTTCACTCCCCAGAGCTGGCAGGAGGCAGCTGATAGATGATTCTCTCTCACCACTGATGTTTCTATCTCCCTCTCCCTTTCTCTCTGAAATCTATAAAAATATATTAAAAAAAAAAAAGTTCCAGAGTTCGGCAAAGTTGAAAACCAATTTTAATTTTTAAAGGCACTACACATGTTTATCAAGTTTTAACAGCAGATTCAAATATCAAGAAACAAAAGTTCTACCTTAACAGCGGCTCCTCTATCTTCAAAATGAACAAATGCATAATCTTTCAACTTCTTCACCCTTTCGAGTTTTCCAAATTCAGAAAATGACTTTTCCAATATTTCTTCTGTCACTGTAGTAGCCAAGTTTCTCACAAATAAAACTTTTACCTAATACAACAAATATAAAAAAATTGGCATTGACTACTTAATTATAGCTAGTCTTACATTAAAGTATTTCTTCCTATCTTCATGGCATAAGCTTTTTTCCTCTAAAGCATTAAGTGCTATGATAAAAGGTATAAAAATTGCCAACAAAATGATTCAGATGTTAGTTACCGATTTATATAAATATTGGTTCCTTCTCAGGTCCTATAACTAAAGTGCCTAACATTGTAAATAAGCGAACAAATTAATTATTACTAAGAACTTACAAATTTTGCATGGACCTTAAGTCTCCCTTAAATAAGTTTTTCTGGGTTTCCCCCCCCCCCTAGTGGAACTGGATAAGCTGATTCTAAAGTTCATCTGAAAAAATAAGCAAATATATCTAGGAAAAAGATAAGAAAAAAATTTAGAGACTAACCTTACCAGATATAACAACCATAATGCTTAAATCATTCAATCAGTGTAATGTTAATCTGGATAAAAATAGAAGTCAGACCCACATCTCACACGATCTCCCAGGATAAACTCCAAAAAGAAACACACACATACACACACACACACACACACACACACACACACACACACACACACACTCACACACACAGAAAAGGATGATGGGGAAGGGAGAAAATGAAAGTGCTAGAAGAAAAAATGTTTTTATAACACACATTGGGGAAGGCTTTGTGACTCAAAATTTATTAACTATAAGTCTATAAACTATAAAAGAGTGATGAATTCAACTACTAAAAATAAATGGCTTCACTTGATGAGTGTGGCTCAGTGGTTGAGCATCGACCTATGAACCAAGAGGCCACGGTTCCATTCCCCATCAGGACACATGCCCGGGTTGTGTATTTGATTCCCCAGTGTGTGGCGTGCAGAAGGCAGCTAGCTGATCAGTGATTCTCTCTCATCACTGATATTTCTCTCTCTCTCTCCCTCTCCCTTCCTCTCTGAAATAAATAAATAAATAAATAAATAAATAAATAAATAAATAAATAAATAGATTCTACATAGCAAAAAATACAAGCAAAGTAAAAAACCAAATGACTTATATAACAAAGAGTTAATCTTTCTTTTATATCAGCGATCCAGAAAATGAAAAACTCAACAGAAAAACTGAATAGAAAAATATGCAAAATTCATGATTATATGGTTCATACAAAAAAAAAAACAACCAAAAACCCAAGAAAACCCCAAGAAAACAACACACAAATGACCAGAAAACAGTAAAAACTTAAACTCATGCATAGTAAGAGAAGAAAACTATTAACAGCTTCAAAATATCATTTGTTATCAAACTGGCAAAATCCAAAAGATTAACGATACACTAATTTTGACAAGGATGAGAAGAAACCTCTTGTATTTCGCTGCTAGGAGGGTAAAACAATCTGGTTCACTTCCCAAAGAGAATATAATCATCTTTGTAATAACAGATGCATTTACCTGTAGGCCCACAATTCTACCCCTGAGAATCTATCCTACAGATATAGCCGTACTTGTATCAACTGACATGACAAAAGCTTATTCACTACAGAAACAAACTAAAAGACTAGAACAACCCAACATCCAGCTGGTTGAATATACTGTAGTACATCCACCGAATGAAACACTATGTAACATATAAAAAAAATAAAGAAAGAAAAAAAAGAGAAAGAGTTCTAGCTGGTTTGTCTAAGTGGATAGAGCATCAGCCTGTGGACTGAAGGGTCCTGGGTTTGATTTCAGTCAAGGGCAAATGCCTGGGTTGCGGGCTTGAACCCTATTAGGTGTTGTGCAGGAGGCAGCCAATCAATAATTCTCTCTCATCATTGATGTTTCTCTCTCTCTCTCCCTTCCTCTCTATAATCAATAAAATTATATTTTCAAAAACACACACACACACACAAAAAGGAAGAGTTCTAAGAGTTGACGAGGAGAGAATGCTAGGATACATTGTTGGTAAGACTTTTTTCCCCCATTTCTGAAACAGGGATCCAACTTACAGTCAATGTGACAGATAAGCACTGTGTCATACTTTAATTGGCAACACTTATAATTTCTTAGTGGTACTTATAATAATGGTATACCTTCCTTAGAGCTGATGAAATAGTGGTAAATAAAACAAATAAGAATCAGTAAAAACAAGTTACCAGCAACCACTTGTATAAGCAGGAAAGACTACATTGTCAATATTTGCCAGTATTTGCCCAAGAAAACACGAAAAGATAACAGACTACTAAAACTGAATGCCTATAGGGAACCAAGGAGTATGATACAGATATGGTAGAAGGAGCTAGGGTGAAATTGGGACTTCTCTGTCTATACCTTTCTATAAAATTTTGATTTCTAAGCTAAGGAAATATATTAACTATTCAAAACATATCTACTGAACAAAGTGTTGCTAGATAAATAGAAAGGATGGGGGAGAAAATCTTAATTCAATGGGTGAAAAAAATGGAACTCTTTTCCTCTCTCCCTCTATCTTCTTTGTTTTTCTAAATGTTGTCAATACTGAAGTATAACTACATCAGACAGGCCTCCACAGATTTCCTTTTTAACTAAACATGGATCTCTTATCTTTTGCTGAAATGAAACCATAATATACTATATAAAAATTACTTGTTACCCTAGCTGGTTTGGCTCAGTGGATAGAGCGTCGGCCTGCAGACTGAAGGGTCCCAGGTTTGATTCTGGTCAAGGGCACATGCCCAGGTTGTGGGCTCAAGTCCCCTGTGGGAGGTGTACAGGAGGCAGCCAATCAGTGATTTTCTCTCATGATCGATGTTTCTCTCTTTCCTTCTCTGAAATCAATAAAAATACCTTTTTAATTACTTGTTAAAACTGTATTAAGAAAGATACATTTATTTAGATTCTTAGGTTCTGTTTGATTTTAAAACTGATCCAACTTGGCAAAAGATCTTCAATAAATTGTTACACTGATAGAGTGAACAGCAAAAGCTTTACTCTATTGTGTATATTAGAAAACAATAAAGAGTCTAATATTCAAGTTTATTCAATCAGTATTATTCTAGTTTATAGAGGCCACCTATTCATTCCAAAATTCATTTCATATGCAGAAAAAAAGTTACTAGAATTAATTTGAAGTTTTCTAACCCTATAAAAAGATTTAGGGTATATTTCAATCTGAAAGGTTATCAGAAGTATGTGAAAAGTGATTGATGAGAAAATTAGTAGCTATATTTGGGGGATCTGATTCCCCTTGTATAATGTGTAATATATCTATAATACTATTTTAAAAATGTTTTTTATAGGATAATCAATAAAGGATACAATATAGTTTCTATAAGATAGATTCGAAGTTATAAGAGATCTGAAGATATTTATCCAATCCTAATAAAATAGGTCACATCCAAATTCAGTAAGTTTGCCCCAGTCACAATTGGGAGAACATGTGAAACTGAAATCAAACTAGAAAAGGAAGGAAGGAAGGAAGGAAGGAAGGAAGGAAGGAAGGAAGGAAGGAAGGAAGGAAGGAAGGAAGGAAGGAAGGAAGGAAGGAAGGAAGGAAGGAAGGAAGATATGATTTATTCAGGGAATATGTTAAAAAGATACTGAGCAGCACATCTGAGAGCCTTTCTGATTCATTCTCAATGGATCTTCTGTTTAACACAAAGATGTTTTTGCCTACAAAAAATTATCATACTAATATAAACTGGGGCTCTCCAAACTAATCAGAGTGAGGACTGCGTTCTCAGAACCTAGGGGCAGATTTCTTATCCAGAAGAATCAAATCACTAAGTTATGACCATCCATAAAGTTGCTGCCTCCCTGAGAAGGGAAAAGATATTTACCAAAATACTCAAAAACTCATTAAAAGGGACAGAGATGCAACTCTAATGTGTCCCTTCAATCCCAGGACTCACCCAAAGGAAAGCCTGAGAATGAGGATTCATGGCACCATCTGTTACCAAGCAAAGATCTTGGCAATGCAAAGACAGGACAGGAAAACGAGGTCCCTCTACAGGATTGCCATGCATATTTTGCCACTACCATATAACAGCAAACATATAAACCTTTTGCCTTTCTTCAAAGGAACAATACCCTAAAGGAAGCTTGATAATTAAAAAAAGAAAAACTTTTTAAAATAAGAGAAAAAATTTAAATATAAATAAAATTATTCCTGGCCATTTAATAAGTCATAATATGGTCAATGAAGATTATAATTCAAACTTTACCTCTTCCTTTACTAAGACCTTGTCTTTTTTTTTTCTTTTTAAACCTCTGTATTCCTTATAATGCCTAGCATTAAACAAATTCTCAGGGTGTATAAAAATACTTAATGGAAGAGATTTCATTTCAGTTCTTTACACGTTTAATCAGCAAGAAAAGGAATGGTTAATGGAGATTCCTGAATATTAAGAAAGGCTGTTGCCGAAACCAGTTTGGCTCAGTGAATAGAGCATCGGACTGCGGACTGAAAGATCCGGGGTTCAATTCCGGTCAAGGGCATATACCTTGGTTGCACGCACATCCCAGTAGGGGGTGTGCAGGAGGCAGCTCATCGATTTTCTCTCATCGATGTTTCTAATTCTCCATCCCTCTCACTTCCTCTTTGTAAAAAAATCAATAAAATATATTAAAAAATAAAAAATAAAAAGAAAGACTGTTATGTTTGGTGTTAAAACAAGTCCTTGTCTAAATAGTTAAAATCAAGAGCTATAATATTAAGAAAAAACTCAAAAAATTTTGAGCTTCATGCTGAGTATAAAATTTAAATTATGACCACACCTCATCCCAGGCAATTGCATTTACCTTAGCCATGACTTCTGGGTCTGGTTCTTCCACAGGGTCAGCCCATTCAACTGTAACTACATTTCCCCATACTTTTACTTTTCCACTCATCAGCCGGCGTCTGGCTTGTGCTGCTGACTTGTGATCCTCATATTCAAGGAAGCAGAACCCCCGATTCTTCTTTTTGTCATCGGGTTGATGATAGAGAATAACGTCCACCAAACCCTCTGTTAAACCAACAGCCAGATATATAAGCCAAAAGCATCCACCACACATCTACTGATTAGGCAGACCTAAATCCACTTGCCTAAGAGCAAAAAATAACTGAAGAAGCCTCAAAATGGTTCACTAATTACCTAATCCAACAATTTAATCAGCATTATTAGATATGAGGTTTGGGACAATATTTTTATGTTTCCTTTTAATTTTAGGGGTTGTAAAGATATGGCCATAAGCAACAGGTGCAACTACTACATTTTGACATGTAACTTTCTACAGTGTTTTAGAGGTTTGATGTAACATAACCTTTAATTTATGAAAATACTACCTCAAGAAACTTAAATATCAAATTATTGATATAAATCCAAGAGAACTAAGATTCAACAACTAACCATCTTGGATCTATCTTAAAGTTAGTTTTTACTAAAAATAAAAATAATTGCTAAATACTGGTGTCCCTCTGCTCTATCCTGTGCCCTCATCTTTTCATAAGTCTTCTTTCTAGGTAAAAAACAGCTAGTTCCTACTCTTAAATACTATCTATATCCTTAAGAATGCTTACATTTTATTTCTATCCCAGACTTAAAGACATTTCAAATTAACAGTCCAAAACTGTACCACCACTCCCCAAGTCTGTCTTCTTTAGACTTTCCTACTTAATAAACAGTACTATCTCCTGGATTTCTCAAGCCAGAAATTAAAAACTCATTCTTGATTTCCTCCTTTATTTCATCTCCCCTATCCAATTCCAAGCCAATCTACTTCTTGCATCTCCACTGCTCAATCTTCTATATGATTATGAAAGCTTCTACTCTTTACTCCTTTCTAAACCATTATCTATACAACAATAGGAATAATATTCTGAAAACATAAAACAGATGTTATTCCCTGTTTAAGACCTTCAAATACCATCTCATTATACATATACTAAAATCCAAATTCCTTACACGGTCGACAAAAGTCCTACCTACTTCATTTCATATAATTCTACCCCTAATTCTACCTTTTAAAAACACTGGCTTTGGCCGAAACTGGTTTGGCTCAATGGATAGAGCGTCGGCTTGTGGACTGCAAGGTCCCGGGTTCGATTCCAGTCAAGGGCATGTACCTTGGTTGCGAGCAAGGCCATGTACCTTGGTTGCGGGCATATCCCCAGTAGGGGGTGTGCAAGAGGCAGCTGATTGATGACTCTCTCTCATCGATGTTTCTAACTCTCTATCTCTCTCCCCTCCTCTCTGTACAAAATCAATAGAATATATTTTAAAACAAACAAACAAACAAAAAAAAAACACACTGGCTTTGTATTCACTTTAATATATCAAGTTCTTTCTTGCCTTAGAACACAGGCATGTATTACTCACTTGGAATGTCTCTTTGTATGCTACATTCTTTTCATTCTTCATGTCTTGGATGAAATGTCACCATATCAGAAAAGGCTTCCATAACCATCAAATCCCCAATAGTAGCTATTCTCTATCTAAATATCCCTTATTTCCTTCTTCACAGTGCTTACCACATGTGTAAATATTTCTTTAATTTTGGTGGGAAATCTCTCCTTTCCCAGAATGTAAGTTCTACAAGGCAGAGACTAGATCTCTTATTCACCACTGTATCCCAGCAGACAGAACAATACCAGCACTTAATAGGCACTGGATAAACACTTGCTGAAAAATGAATACATGGATATAAAGCTAGAAAGGAGTTGGTAAATTATGATAAATTAGAGGCCCAGTGGATGAAAATTATGCATGGTGGCGGGGGGAGAGAGGGTAAGAAGGGGGAGGTCCCCTCGCCTGGCCTACACCCTCTCGCTGTCTGGGAGCACTCGGGAAGCAGGCCTAAGCCATCAGTCGGACATCCTTTGTGCCTACATGGAGGCAGGAGACAACTCTGCTGTGCTCGCCAGCTGTGAGCCTGGTTTCTGGCTGAGGTTTCTGGCTGGGCAGCTCTCCCCATGGGAGCGCACTGACCACCGGAGGCAGCTCCTGTGTTGAGCGTCTGCTCCCTGGTGGTCATTGTGCATCATAGCTACCAGTTATTCCACCGTTTGGTAGATTTGCATATTAGCCCTAAATATATAGGATTATTATATAGGATAGTGGTAGTGGTTACAATGTGGGATGCTAGAAGTAAAAAATTCCGGAGTGGCTAGAATTTGGGGCAACAAGTTCCAGAATGTGATCTGCATGTGGGAGAGCTGAAGTAAAGGACTGAGGATGGGGTAGTAATAAAACTAGGAGGTTAGGGTACTGGATGATGCCTCTATGGTAAAAGTACTAAGAATAAGTCAATTTAGGACAGAAGAGGAAGATAGTGAGCCAGAAGCAACCTTCAATTTAATAAGACAAATTGAAACCAGAAGAGCAATAGATGACATCTGGAAGGAAGGGAAAAGGATAGTATATTTGGATGACAAAAATGTAAAGGAATAGTGGGGTTTTCTTTAAAAGGGAAAGTAACAGTCTAAAAAAATGTTTTTTAAACAACAGCTGGTATTTAGTAGCTCTCTATTAGCATTTTAAAAATGGAAATAGAAAAGGAAATATCAGACTAAATCATGTAAAGTAGTAAAAGTATACAGTTTCATTAAGTTTTGTTTCAGTTACATATAAATGTATAGACTAATGTAAAAACATATACATTGTAATATAAAATGTACTTCTCAATCAATTCCATGCATTTAGAATTGCAAATTTTGAAAAATATGATCTAGAAGAGCTAACAGGAAGAGGGTAAGAGTCGTAATCCCTTTGGACCTAAAGTATACTGAATGTCAGAAGGGAAAAGCCTTCACTTGAAGACCACAGGGCAAAAACTCTGGCAAAAGCCAAGGTTCAATTAAGGTAAAGTGAAGGGGACATTTTAAGATATTAAGGATATGAGGAGACATGCTTAATCCAAACCACTATAAATATTAAAAAATTCAAATAATGTATCAAACTGGCAAAATCCAGAAAATAATAAAAGCAGAAGGGATGCAATTTAGAAATTTAGAAATTGAATAGACATTTAAACTTAGATTAATATACACATCTTTTTTTTTGCACTTATAAAACAGTACTACAGATTTCCCAAAATTAACTTCTAAATACATTTTTGTTTTACCTGTGACTTTACTGAATTCTTCCAGAATGTTTTCTTTAGTCTTATTCTTTGGAATTGATCCAACAAAAAGCCTGTTGTTTGCCACAGAAATGCACACTCCAAGGTGTTTGCCAGGGCGAATTTCATAGCTGTCACACTGCAAGGAAGAAAAGAACCAGACACCCCACAACCACCCCAAACTCAGGACAACCAATCTCAATCTAAAATATTCATTAATTTAAGGTCAACCACTCCCTGCTTCGTGAACTCACCAAGTTCCCTCAGGCTTGTCATAATATAAATGTGTATTTTAAACTTGTTACATCCAGTCTTTCATTTAACTTGGTTTTGTTAACTTTGACTACTCCTCCATATTATAAATGACTCAAAGTTATTCTCATTTTATTTTTAAAACTATCTTATTTCGTATTTAAATTTTATCTAAAAACTCTTTTCCATAGTTTTTTCAGAAAAAGTACTTGGGAGATTAAATCAGATACAGACAAGCCATTGGCAAGATAATACAAAAAGAGTAACAACTATGTTTACTCAATGCAAAATAAATTTAGAAGAACTTCACATTCTACACAAACCACAGAATTCTAAATATATAAAGTTTTAAACTGCATATAAAATACAATACTTTCAAAAGTATATAAAATGATAGATATAAAAAAATGTTTTATTTAAATCACACGGTGTTTCCTTGATAAACTTTAGCTTCTCATGCTTTAACATTACTTACCCATTTATTTACTAAAAGACATGTTATTATTAAATGAAATCATCCATATGTTGCCAAAACATGGAAATAAAGATTTAAAAACTTAATATTAAATAAACAAACTGTAAACAAAAAAATCCATAACAAAGACTAAAATCTGGGTCAAACTAGAAGTAGAACTACTTTAGAGGCAACTTATGAAACAAAAGCCTTGGTTAAAGAGGTTACTGGTCTAGAAGGACTAGAACTAGACTAGGTGAGGGCTTTAGATATCTGGCAAAAGATTTTGCCAAAATACAATGATACTGTTAAGTTACTGAGATGGTTGTATTTTAATACAGTAGGAGTGAAGATATATTTAATTTGCAAAATTTAGTTACTACTGCTACTCATAAGTAAGTACAAAGAGTAAAAGGCCCTATAAAAAGGAATTAATAGAAGACTGGTTATAAAATAGCAAAAAAAGAAGAATTAAAGACAGAGAAAACTGAATGACCTAGAAACAAAAATATAGAAAAGAAGAATATACTTAGAAAATAAATTGTATGATTAGGCTGTGAGAAAAATAAAACAAAACAGATTCAGAACCATTTCTTGAATTGGTGACAGTATCCTAATTCTTCATTTTCATTATACTTTAAAAATCCTATCATAAAGTGTAACAGCAAGAATTGACATCCTTTCTATCAATATTCAAATGGAACTTTAGATACTAATCACTCTAATTAATAACTTGTAAAATATATTTATATTTATTAATTTCAGAGAGGAAGGAAGAGGGAGAGACAGAAACATCAAGATGAAAGAGAACCATTCATTGGCTGCTTCCTGCATGACCCCACTGGGGACTGAGCTTGCAACCGGGTGCCCGGACTGGGAATTGAACTGTGATCTCCTGATTCACAGGTCAACACTCAACCACTGAGGCATACCAGCCATGCTCTATTAATAACTTTTTAGAATTATGGGGCACTTTCTCCAACAAATTAATTCTTGGGTATCCTCATTTCTTTTTTACTTTTATAATCTGAAAACGCAGAGCAAAGGCCACAAACCAATTCAGTTAACATAAAAGCACTCAAAACAATAACTAAAGGAAATAAAACAATGTTAACTGCAAACATTTTAAACTGAGGTAATTTTCTCAAATAATGACTTGCTAGACAGCAGGTATCGGTTTTGTTATCACATACCAGTTTAACAGCTTCCTGTGCAGCTTCCTTTCCACAGAAGGTGATAAATGCATACCCTCTGTTCTGACCAGACAGTGGATCCATCATAAGACGTAGGTCCCAAATGGGACCAGCCTTTTCAAAAAGGGGTACCAATTCATCCTCATATAAATCTCTTGGTATTTTTCCTACAAAAACCTGAAATAAAATCTCTGTATTAGAATCCCAATGTAAGCATTTGATTTTAGATCTATAAAGCCTAACTGCCTGTTCTTTAAGGGGATGGGGACAGGAAGATAATTAAGGAGCAATGGGATAATTTGAATTTTATGAAACTGACCCTAATTTTTATTCTAATGACTTTAAGGTCATCAACATAGAACAATATTCTATACTGATTAATGGAAAATGATTTAAAAAAAAAAAGTGTGCAAAATTTGTACTAAAATTTAAATATTTATAATTTGTTTTCCTCATAAAAGTGAATAAAGAACACATATGTTTATAGAAATATGTCTGTGTTTTTATAAAAATAAAATAGAATAAAAGATTAGTGTGGTCTTCCTCAAGCCTTCTCAATCTAAAATTTTTATTATTTAAAGCTCCAGGGCTTCTTCAATCAATCTCTTTCTCTACCAGAATATTATATTTTAAGGTCTATTAAAAATTCTTCACCAAAAAAAAAAAAAAAAAAAAAAATTCTTCACCATATAAAGATTTAATATTCTACCTCAATAAAAGTTATATAGGATTAAATTATACAATGATAAATTCAAATTAAGTAATCACACATAGTTTTCTTCAAGTTTCTACCACCATGTCAGTAACATCAAAAATAATCCTTTATGTTAAAATGTTTGCAATCCAGTCTTAACAAGTAAATCAGTGTTTGCATGAGATAAATGGTCTAGTGAAACTTTAACATCGTTTCATATTCTGAAAAATAACCTAATTAATGAATAATAGCAATCCAAAAGATGTCAAAATTATACTGGATATTAGGTTTCTGATGTTAAGCTCCATAACAGTTGTGTAATCTGACACAATCCTTTCCAAAAGATGGATTCACCTTCACAGCTGTTGGGTAAAACCAGAGGTCTTCTTCCGAAAAATCTAGCATAATTCTCATACAACAGCTATTCCAATTCTGTCTTCTTGAAGTCTCCAATCCTTGTTCAGTCACTTTAAGTTCTTCTGGGAAAGTTACTAGTTTCCTCATATTCATTCTTTCCTCTCAACCTTAAAAACTTTTCTCAGCATCTATTTTCACTTATTTCCTTTATACCTCAGAGAAAGAGATTTATTTCCTTTCCAAGGTTAACTAACTTCTTAACCCTAATAAAACAGCACATGTCTTTTCACCACCTTCTTGTAGAAATAATTACAAACCTTTATTTCTTCAACTCTCCTATTTTTTGCTCAATACACCCTCCTTTCCTGTCAATTGGTTCTTTCCTGTCTATAAACATGTTAAATTTCCCACAGCTAAACAAAATACAAATAATACTTTAGCTTCTATATCTTTCCTTTTACTTTTATATGCTTAGAACACTTCACCAATGTTTTATTTTACTCATGCAGTTTTTTTTTTTTTTTTTCAATACATGCTTAGTACTGGAACAGCTATAGAGAAGTAAAAATAAGACATTTAAGGCACCTTTTTAATGGTTTCCCTACAGAAGCATCTTTCTAATGAAAAATCCACTCGGAAAAGCACTTGCCATCTATGCTCTTTTTAACTCTCCTAAATTGACTTCTTACTAAACTGTATGCCCAAATGTCACTAATGAACTTCTAATGACCAAATTTTCTTTTCTCAGTCTCACCATCCTTGCCTCAACAAGCATCAAGACTGGTGATACTACCTTCTGAAATCCTCTTAAATGTTCAGAATCCTACACTAATCCGATCTTCTTACCTTTAATTATTTCTCTATCCTTTCCAAGGCTACATGTTTCCCAAAGTTATGGTTCTACAATATTTCACTGTATTTCCTTCACTTATAAAGATCTTATCCCCAAAGCCTACAACTATAAAGTCATCTTCCAAATCCCCATCCCAAGACCTAATTCTGTGTCTCCAACTGCCTATTAAACATTTCTTCTTGATTGCCATCAATAAGTCTAGCAGTGCCAACTTGTTTATTGAATATAGATGTATATATAGATATGACTATCAGAATAATACAATAGTAGTTATAATACATAAAAAACTTTTCTAATTGTATTTTTCCTTATTACATTTCTAAATATTCTACTATGAAGATAGAATAAATTTTAACAAATGTTTCCTTTTTCAAAAGTCAAAGTGAGTAAAACCCACCCTTGTCAACTGACTCCTCTGAACTTTATTCTTGGAAGAACATAATTTCTGCTGCTCCTCCAACAAGGTGACTGAGGAAATATTACTCCCATAAACTAAACAAAAAAATCTCAAATATTTTGAATCGCTCCCATTCTCATCCATGTCCAATTAATCCTTTAAGTATCAGCTTAAAGTTGCTCCAATGCATAATGCCTAGCCTATACAGACAACTGGTTCCTTCTCACGGAACAAACCTTTCATGAGATATGGAAACGCACACACTTTGGACTCCTGTGCCATGTATTTTTCTAAGTTCTAGAGATATAATGAAAACCAAAGACAAGGTCTAGGTATTCATGAAGCTTGTATTACTGATATAAATATAAACAATATTTTTAGGAGGTGTTAAAGGTTAACAAAAATAAAGGGAAAAAAGGGATAAAAATTATGAGAAAGAAACTGTATTTAGAGGGCCTCCTTAAGGAGGTTAAATTTGAATTGAGACCTAAGAGAGAAAATAAATAATCTGAGGAAAGGACATTCCAAAGTGAGGGAACAAGTACAAAAAGATGGGAGTACAACTGACATAGCTGAAGAAGAGCAAACAGGCCAGCTACTAGAATACAATGTCAATACTGTCGTATTGAGAATGAGACAGAGGTTAAGTTTAGGAGTTTGGGTTTTATTCCAATTGTGTTGGGAAGACATAAGAGAGCTTTGAACACACGAGTGACTAGGTATGACTTATGTTCTAAAAGGAATATTTGGGGGGGGGGGGGAATAAAAAAATAAAAGGAATATTTGGGTAACTGGGTTGAAAATGAGTGTACAGGGAAACAGGCTGACTGGTCAGGTTAATAGGGCAATCCCAGAAAGGAATGATGTGGCTTGGCGAAGTAAAGTAAAGCCATGAAGGTAGGAAAAATGTAAAAAATAGTGAGTTTCAAATTATATTTAATTCAAATCTACATTTTAGTTACCTTAAGCAAGTTTCTTAATTAGTGAATCTCAATTTCCCCATCTGGGAATAACACCAGTAAGAGGGTTCAATTTCTATGTGAGTGTAGAGTTCACAATTTGTTCCTCATTTTATTCCCAGCATTGGGCACAGTGGGTGCTCATCTTTGAATAGATGTATGAAGGAGCATCTACCTCATACTGTTAACTTCTGCACTAACTGGATAGATCCCATCCCCTTTCCTACCCAAGGATGCATGGACCAGAAACTATTTTATCAATTTCCTCTTTTATAATGGAACCATTTCCATCAGCACATAAATATATTTTAATTTCTTCCTTGATATTTAAACAAATATATATCTTGACTATAATACCTTCCAGTTATTATCTCATTTCTTACTTCCTTTGTAAGAAATGTAGCAAAATTGCTAAAACAAACAAAACAAAAAAAGCCTGTAAATTCAAATTCCTCACCTTCCACTCTCTTGAATCTTCTCCAAATCTGGCTTTTACCACCATTCCTGTCAAAGTCAACTAATGACATCCACCTTGCTACAATCAAGTGTCAATTCCCAGTCTTCACCTTACCTGGAAAGTTTGATATAGTTAACCAGCCTTCCTTCTGTGAAAACTTTGACTTCCAAGACACCACACTCTTGGTTGTTTTACCTCACTGGCTTGCTCTTCTCAGTCCCTTGTTAGTTACTCCTCATCTTCCCAAATTCTAAATGTTGAAGGGCTGCAAAGATCAGATCTTAGACCTTTTCTCTAATCTACACATATTTCCTTGGCAACTGCATCCAAACTTACGGTTTATAAATATCATACAGATGCTTATGTCTCCCCACATTTACAATCTCCAACCAAAATTCTCCCCTGAACTCCAGACTAATATGAACAACAGATCAAACAACAGCTATACTTACAGGTCTAACAGATATCTCATAGCATATCCAGAATTAAATTACTATCTTTCAATCCTACTAATTTGCTCTTTAATACAGCCTTCCTCTCAATTCAATAATGGTAATTCCATCCTTCCAGGTGCTCAGGTAAGAAGTTTTGAAATCATTCCTGGCTGCTTTCTCTATCCCTATATCTAACCTATCAATAAATACTGTTTGATCTGCCTTCAAAATATCCAAATCTGACCACTTCTCAGCTACACCAACCTATCTAATAACGAGGAAGTATGCTAATTGACCATCCACACCGTTGCAAATATGGTGGCGCCCAGTCCCCTTAGTCCCGGCCTTGCTGTGCACCTGCCTCCAGAGCCCTCCAGTTCCCTAGGCCCCCCAGCCACCCAGGGCTGGCAAGCCTCAGATGGCAGCTGCCTGAGGCCCAGGTAACCAGGGCCAGCTGAGGCTTTCATTGCTGGCAGTAGCAGCAGCAGAGGTGTGATGGGGCATCACCTTCCCCTGATCGCTTGGTGGCCTCCTGCCCCTGAGGGCTCCTGGACTGTGAGAGGAAGCAGGCTGGGCTGAGGGACCTCCCCTGCCAGTGCATGAATTTTCATCCACCAGGCCTCTAGTTAACTCTATAAATATTAACAGGCACAGCACTAAAAAAAACGTATTGATAAAGGTGTCCTAAGGTAAGTGGATAGTGTCGGCCTGGAGACTGACGGGTCCCAGCTTCAGTTCTATTCAAGGGCATGTACCTTAGTTGTAGGCTCTTGCCCGGCCCAGGCCCTGGTTGGGGTGAGTTCAGGAAGCAACCAATCAACGTGTTTCTCTCAAATCAGTATTTCTCTGTCTTTCCCTCTCTCTTTTCCACTCTCTCTGAAAATCAATGGTAAAATAACCTCAGGTGAGGATTAAAGGGGGGGGGGGGGGGAAGAAGAAATACACAAGGATGATTGATATTAATTTTGAAATGTATTACAAAATTTATGCTGACTAAATTCTTATCTATTTTATTGATTTTTAGAAAGAGAGGAAGGGAAAGAGAAACATTTTTTGAGAGAAGATAAGTTAACTGAGGATTGAACCCAAAACCTAGGTATGCATCCTGACCAGTAATCAAACCCACAACCTTTTAGTGTATGGGACAACACTCCAACCAACCAAGTCATCTGGCCTAGACTGAAATGCAATTGTTTAATGTGGCGAGGTTCTGTAGCCTATTCTCATTAGAGTATTTTTATATTCTAGAATATCTGTATTTGAATATTTAAAAACCGTCCTTTGAAGTAAATTCTGCTTTATATTATTTCTATCTAACAAAATGCAATGGTGCTTCATAATTATATTATTCATCATCCCAATTTTCCTTCTACCATTACAAATACATGGGAAAGAAAGAGTACATGGAGTGGCACTATGAAAATATACCTGACACACAACAAAGTAAGGAAGATAAATGTCAGATTATATTACTACTTATATAACACATGTGCCTATATTTTTAGAACCAGACAGGTTTGCCTCATTAAGCATACGTAAAATGAAAAATCTGTATTTTCAGTATAAGTAATTTTATCACTTTACAGAAAAGATTCAAAAGAATGAGCTCATTGTACTATCATTTGAATGTTAGATTTTCCAAGAGAATACTAATTTATTTTAGAAGAAACATCTCTAAATCTGTGATCAATATTATAATTATTATAAATCACTGGGGACCAAAAATACTGATTTATCTTAGAAATAGGAGGTAGCTTCATTTCAAGATCAGTTTAGCTTAGAACATTAGAAGAACTTAAAAAGGCTAAAACTAAACAATATTCAAAAACATGCTCTAGTTGGGTGGCTCAGCTGGTTGGAGTGCCGTCCCATATAACAAAAGGTTGCAGGTTCGATTTCCAGTGAGGGCACAAACCTAGGTTTTGGGTTCAATCTCTAGTCAGGGCTCATACAGGAGGCAATGCATTGATCTTTCTCTTTCTCTCTTCCCCTTTCTCTCTAAAATCAATAAAAACAGCCCTAGTGGTTTGGCTCAGTGGATGCAGGGTTGGCCTATGGACTGAAGCGTCCCGGGTTCAATTCAGATCAAGGGTACATGCCTAGGTTGTGGGCTCAATTCCCAATAGGGGGTGTTCAGGAGGCAGCTGATCAATAGTTCTCATCATTGATGCTTCTATCTCTCTCTCTCCCTTCTTTTCTGAAATCAATAAAAATATATTTTAGCCAAAACCAGTTTGGTTCAGTGGATAGAGCATCAACCTGTGGACTGAAGGGTGCCAGGTTTGATTCAGGTCAAGGGCATGTACCTTGTTTGCGGCACATCCCCACTAGGGTGTGTGCAGGAGGCAGCTGATCGAAAGTTTCTCTCTCATCGATGTTTTTAACTCTCTCTCTCCCTTCCTCTCTGTAAAAAAATCAATAAAATATATTTTTTAAATAAAAAATAAAAAAATATATTTAAGACAATAATAATAGACCAAACAAGTTTGGCTCAGTGGATAGAGTGTCAGTCTGGGTTCTGAAGGGTCCCAGGTTCAGTTCCAGTCAAGGACATGTATCTTGGTTGTGGGCACATCCCCAATAGGGAGTGTGCAGGGGGCAGGTAACAGATATTTCCTTCTCCCCTCCTCTCTGTAAAAAAATCAATTAAAAATATTTTTAGCCCTAGCCAGTTTGACTTGGTGGATAGAGCATCAGCCTGTGGACTGAAGGGTCCCAGGATCGAATCCGGTGAAGTGTATGTACTTTAGTTGCAGGCACATCCCCAGTAGGGGGTGTGCAGGAGGCAGCTGATTGATGTTTCTCTCTCATTGATGTTTCTAACTCTATCCCTCTCCCTTCCTCTCTGTAAAAAAATCAATAAAATATATTAAAAAATATATATTTTTTAAATTAAAAAAACAAAATAATAAATATTTTTTAAAAAATCAATAAAAACCTATCCTTGGGTGAGGATTTATTATTATTATTATTATTACTTTTTTTTTCTTTTTAATCCTCACCCAAGTATATTTTCCCATTGATTTTTAGAGAAAGGGAAAGACAGAAAGAAACAATGATGTGAAAGAAACACATCAACTGGTTGCCTCCCACATGAGTCCTAACAGGGCACAGGCCTGGGAGGAGTCTGTAAGCAAGATAAGTGCCCTTGGCCAGAATCAAAGCCCAGCCCTTTTGGTCCTCAGGCAGAAACTCTTATCACTGAGCCAAACCGGCTAGGGCTCTTGAGTGAAGATTTTTACAAAACCCAATAAATTAAGTATCACATCTTTTAAAGTTTTTTAAGCTCTAATTTTTAATTAACTAAAATGAAATAGAAATGTTTTCCTCTTATTAAATGGTTGATCCCTGAGCCACTTGGACTCCCTATGAACTGTTCAGAATAATCACTCAGTTGTGTCTAAGTTATCCTCCACCCCAATCCAGAACCAATAGAATCTGACAAGTACCATAACAATTATTCCTTTACTCATTTTGGCATCAAAGCTTGGAAAAAACTTTGCCTGTCTATTATCTATCCATCAAATACTTCAACAGTAATAGAGGAAGTCCTTTGAGGCTCCGGAAGCAATCAACAGAAGCAAAAAGGCAGCTCAACAAAGTCTTTTGAGTATCTACTGGGGTTCATTCATTATCCAATTCCTATTTGCTATTTTGCAAACACAGCAGCTTTTCTTCATATATAATTCAATTCACGTGCTACAAAGTCATATACTTTTAGGTCTCTGTCACTCGTTCTGTAACATTTCCATTAGTAAGAAATCAAAGAATTATATCTAATCTGCTATTTCCTCTGAATTCCTAAATAGAATATCAGCGCTTATACAGTTTAAACAAATAGGAGTTTATTATATACTAGAGGCATGATGCATAAAATTCCTGCTAGGGGTTTGGTTCCCGCAGCCCACACCGCAGCTGCCTCTGCCTCGGCCCCTGTGCTTCATTCGGAAGGACGTTTGTTCTAATTAGCATATTGTGCTTTTATTATTACAGACAGCCGTGATCTCCATGGATATTACATTTTTATCAATAGAAACAAATTAAAACAGAACTTGCTTCTCAAAAGTTTTATAATACCAGCTGAAGAATATATAAAGATACAACCAAACTAGATCTGAGAGTCAAGGCACACTAAGAAATACATTATGAAATTAATACCTATCATTCTTGTATATTTCTCAACACAGGAAATGCTTAGTAACAACTTCTGTTAATGAGTGCTCATTTATAGTATTAATTTACAGATTTTATCCAAAGATAAAACCTCACAGTCTTCGAATAACTTAATTTTAATATTGTCAAATCTTAGACACTGACCCTAATTTCAACTTCCTCAATCAAGAGCTAAAAATATTTTAATGACTAATGAAACATAAAAGAACAAGAACACTAAACCCTCACAGCATCAAAAATGACACCAACTAGCCCTGGCCATGATTACTCTATGGTTAGAGCATTGGCTGAGGACTAAAGGGTTGAGGGTTTGATTCCCAGTAAAGGTCGAGGTTTCAGGTTCCTTCCCAGTTGCAAGTTCCATCTCGGCCCAGTCAGGGAGGTAACCAATCTATGTGAGCTCATTATCAATGCTTCTCTCTCTCTCTCTCTCTCTCTTCCTCCCTCCTCTCTCTTTTTCACTCTCTTTCTAAAGACCAATGGAAAAAAATATCATTGGGTAAGGATTTAAAAAAAAAAAAAAAAAAAAAGTCCAATTGAAACCAATGTATTAAATCTATATCAAAAATCTATTTTTCGCTGAAACCGGTTTGGCTCAATGGATAGAGAATCGGACTGCGGACTGAAAGGTCCCGGGTTCGATTCCGGTCAAGGGCATGTACCTTGGTTGCGGGTACATCCCCAGTAGGGGGTGTGCAAGAGGCAGCTGATCGATGATTCTCTCATCGATGTTTCTAACTCTCTATCCCTCTCTCTTCCTCTCTGTAACAAATCAATAAAATATATTTTTTTAAAAATTAAAAAAATCTATTTTTCTTGCTATACACCTAAAATTAATATAAAATATTGACTGTCAACTCCAATTGAAAAAGAAAACAACATACCTTTTTTTTTCTTCTAATTTTCCAAAACTTTAATTTTTAACAAGTATAGGTCAAATCTCATGAAATCAAATTTATGGGAAGAATCCAAAATTTTACATTGGGATCTTATACTTTTTACATTGACAGGAGGGGTTTAGGCTGATGATCTCATATAGGTATTATGCTACAATATCTGCTGTATGTAATGATATCTAACATAAAGGAAAATGCATTTCTCCTATATAAGAGAATGATACATGTTTTAGAACTAGCACACTAATTATTTGTTTGTAACTGGATACTCAGAATAGTTTCCTAATAAATTATTCAAATACTTTGAGAGAAATCTTAGAGTACTAGTAAAATCCTTATCTATGTAAAAGCGAAGATAAAACAAATCTCCATGAATGAAACCAATCTAATGGCCAAAAAAGTTCATTTCTTTAATTATGAAATACATACAACTAATTTACACCAGACTGTACTGTACATTGTGAAGAACATTAACAGTATTATATAGACTAAATTTTTATCCCTAAGAATTTTATTCCTAAGAAATACACTAAGCCCTAGCCGGTTTGGCTCAGTGGATAGAGCGTTGGTCTGCGGACTCAAGGGTCCCAGGTTCCTTCTTGACCCCTTTTCCCTCCATCACACAGATTCAAGAATTTACAAAGTATTTGGGTATCTATTTTTTTTACAATTATTTTTGCTTATAATGGCAGCAAAAAACAGATGTATATCCAAAAAAATAACTAACCTTAAAAAGAATCAAATGTTTTTCCTACGTGCACAATAGATAGAATAATCTATAAACGGTAAAGATTTTGGCAAAAAGCTGAAGAACACTTACTTCTGTTCCAATTCCAGGTTGCATGCCAGAGTACACACTGTCTGGTGGAGGACCACCATACTTCCTCTGTCCTGTGGTTACATCCAGAGTATAACCAGTCCTCTCAAGCAAAGCCTAAAGGTAATTATACATGTTTATACTTGAATATTAAATATCACACACAAATCAGTATATTAATATTTTCCAAAAGGTACTCCAACCCGTTAAGACTGTATTTTATAATTAGGTAAAAAAGACTAAATTCACACTGGTTCCTCACACATGCTGCTCCCGTTTTATTTTACTTCTCCTTTACATACATTTAATGCAAAGTTTTAGGCAAATTAAGTCTCTAAGGACTCGCCACTTTTTTGTTACGAGAATAAAAATAGGGGCAATGACTGCCCTAGCCAGCATGGCTCAGTGGATAAAGCGTCAGACTGAGGGGTCCCAGGTTCAATTCTGGCCAAGAGCACATGCCTGGGTTGCAGGCTTGATCCCCAGTGGAGGGAGGGGGGAAAGGCGTGCAGGAGGCAGCCAATCAATGGTTCTCTCTTATCATTGATATTTCTATCTCTCTTTCCTTTTCCCTTCCTCTCTGAAATCAATAAAGAAATATATTTAAAAGAAAAAAATAGGGGCAAGGGTTATTAAGAAGTCTATGGAAAAAAAAAAAAAAAAAAAAAAAAGCCGAAACTGGTTTGGCTCAGTGGATAAAGCGTCGGCCTGCGGAGTGAAAGGTCCCAGGTTTAATTCCAGTCAAAGGCATATACCTTGCTTGCGGGCACATCCCCAGTAGGGGGTGTGCAGGAGGCAACTGATCAATGTTTCTCTCATCGATGTTTCTTAACTCTTTGTCCCTCTCCCTTCTTCTCTGTAAAAAACCAGTAAAATATCTATGTAAGCTGACCTGAGGCTACCAATTCATACTTCATACCACAGTATTTCTCACTGTGCACCCCTCTATTTCAATTAGACTTCTTTCCTTACTTGTTCCCTTTATATACTATACTTATATCCACCAGTGATTCTTTTCAAATAACGTGTTCTTCATCCTTAAAAAATCAAAAGCCCTGTCTGACTGATGTCACTCAGTGGATGAGTGCCATCGTAGGAACCAGGAGCTCACCATTCGATTCCCAATCAGGGCACATGACAGGTTGCAGACTCAATTCCCAGTAAGGGGCGTGCAGGAGGCAGTCAAATGACGATTCTCTCTCATCATTGATGTTTCCATCTCTCTTCCTCTCCAAAAATCAATAAATACATATATATTGAAAATCAAAAGCCCTACCTCTCATGCAGCTTATCCCATTTACTATTTCTGACATCTTCATACTTTTTCATTGTACACAAATAATTGAACCTGTTTTATTTGGTCTTTTATTTTGTATTCCTGTTATACTATAAGCTCTTTAAAAAACAGACAATTTCTCTAGAGTGGTGGACCTTCTGGTCCATATGGCCTCCAAGGAATAAGAGCCCCTGGACTACCAGCCCCAGCAAGAAGAAGAGAGGTCCTCAGCTACTGGGAATCCTTGCCCCAGATCGATCCCCCAACACACTGAGAATCTCCTGACCACAGCTTCCATCCCAGACCCCCTGAAGAAGGGGAGGGGCTTAGGTAACCATCAATAAATTTCACTGTACAAAAAAAAAACAAAAAAACACCAAACAATTTCTCATATAGCATAGATTCAAAATATTTGACAATTACCAAATGAATATACTTAGGTTTCAAAAAACAAAGGAAACATCATGTTTCCTAATTCCCAACCTTCCTCACATTATATTGGGTATTTAAGGGGAATCATAGGAAAGAAAAGAATGTCCATGCCCTAAAGGTTATGCTTATATGAAAGGCCTACAGAAATAGGACACAATAATAAGGAAAAAAAAAAATTCAATCTATCTAGAAAGAAGTTTTACACTTCAGGTTTTTAAAATTATACAATGTCAGAGCAATAAGAGATATTAGACATCACCAAGTTCAGTGGTTTTCAAAAATAACTTTGGAAAAAACCTAGGATACCAGTTTCCTTAGACCTTCTATTCTTTTACCTTTGACTCAAATAGAGCTGCTCTACTTTTAAACATAGAAATACATATAAGATACTACATAATACATGCATAATATGTACATTACATATTTACATATGATGGTATTTGCAGCATAATGTAATACACACACACACACACACACACACACACACACACACTGTAACAAGACCAAATAGCTTTAGGGAAATAATAAAGGCTTATTCAATGAACAATAGTAAGTTAAAAAACACACACAATTATTACATCAAATCTACACATATAAAAGCTTAAGTGACCATCCAACCAGTAGCTATGACATACACTGACCACCAAGGGGCAGATGCTTCAACCAGTAGTTCAGCTTGTTGCTGGGGTTAAGCTGACAGGGACTGGGCAAGATGGGCCAGACACGCCCTGGACGAATCCATGCACTGGGCAATTTCGGCCTGACCCCCACAGGCTAGGCCAAAGGACCCTACAGGTGCACAATCTAGGCACTGGGCCTCTAGTTTTCACATAATTATTTTTAAAATATTAAGCCTGGCTGGTGTTGCTTAGTAGGTTAAGATACCAAGAGGTGCTAGTTCAAATCCAGGTTGGGGCTCATGCCAAGGATGCCAGTTCAATCCCCAGTAGGGGTGTGCAGGAGGCAGCCAATCAATGATTCTTGATATTTTCTCTCTCTCCCTCACCCTTCTTCTCTCTGCAATATATATATATATATATATATATATATATATATATATATATTTTTTTTTTTTTTTTTTTTTTTTTTTTTTTAAAGAATGGGGTTATGCTCTTTTACAGATGAGGGAAAATAGGTACAAAGGAGCGCTTATGTAAGCTAATTATATGGCAGAAACTACAATTAATATTTCCTACCTACATAAAACTATACAAACAACTTCAACATTAAATAACTGAACACCAATATCCATTTGATTAAGGTTCACTGGTCTTCCACTAAATGCCCTATATTTACCTTTCATAGCCATTTATCTATAATATATAAAATAATAGTAATTACAGCTCATAGCTTTAACAAGTTTGGCTCAGTGGATAGAGCACTGGCCTGCAGACTCCGGTCCAGGACACATGCCCAGATTGCGGGCTTGATTCCCATTAGGGGGCGAGCAAGAGGCAGTCATTCAATAATTCTTGCTCATCGATGTTTCTATTTCTCTCTCCCTCTTCCTTCCTCTCTGAAATCAATAAAAATATATTTTAAAAAATAATGGCTCATAGTTATGTTTTTGCTACATTCCAGGTATTATTCTAAGCAGTTTCAATATCTTAATTCCTCTAATTCTCACAACTCTGTGAGGTAGGCATGATCACTATTCCCAGTTTATAAGTAAGCTAAGGTAAATAAAACTCAAAAATGAGAAAAGCAATTATAAAAACACTTTTACCAAGAGGAAAGAAACAAAGTGGCCCTAGCTGGTTTGCCTCAGTGGATAGAGAATCGGCCTGCTGACTGAAGGATCCCGGGTTCAATTCTGGTCAATAGCACATGCTCAGGTTGTGGTCTTGATCCCCAGTAGGGGGCGTGTAGGAGGCAGCCAATAGGTGAGTCTCTCTCATCATTGATGTTTTTATCTCTTTCCTTCTCCCTTCCTCTCTGAAATGAATAAAGATATATTTTTTAAAAAGAAATAAACAAACAAACAAACAAACAAAGTACTTCGAAATAAAATGAACCAAAAACATGACTGTATCAATCCAAAAAACTGTTATTAGGAAGCATCAATAAATATATATCACTCATAGCCCAAAGAACAAGGAATGGAGGAGGGAGAGTCTTGAATCAGGGTTTTTCACTAAACATACAATTAAATCTTTGCCTCCAAAATTCTTATGTAATTTTCCCTAAATTATTTCATTTCTAAACACTAATATTTTTAAAAAAGTGGAATAGTAATGTCAACCAGAAAGGTTCAGTGGTTGAGCATTGACCTGTGAATCAGGAGGTCACAGTTTGATTCCCAATCACAGCACATGCCTGTGTTGCAAGCTCAATCCCCAATAAGGTGCTTGCAGGAGGCAGTTGATGGATGATTCTCTCTCATCACTGATATTTCTCTCTCTCTCCCTCTCCCTTCCTCTCTGAAATCAATGAAAAACATATCTTTTTTAAAGTATTCAATCTCATCTTTAATTTGATTTCATAACCAAGTCAAGTTTTACCTTAATCTTCGCTTCATCAGGTCCCTTTGTAGACTCTTGCACCTTGCTTCCTTGTTTCTCCCTTTGCCTGTAGGTCTTCATAACTCCACATAAAAATGCACTTTTGTTCTAGAACAGGCAAGTAATTAAATGAAAAAGAATTACTAGCAATCATTGAAAGGTCAAATACATATGAAATTTAATTTCAGAAGACCAGAATTTAAACAAAATATTTACTCATTTATTCACTGAATAAGTATTTGCTGAGTGATAACTATGTGCCCGCGAATGGTGCAGAAAGCAGCAAGACAGTCTTTCACTTGTTGATATTTAAATGCATCTGAACTATCTTTGCCACATGTTCGAAAACTATTTCTCCCATCTTCATTATTTCCTTTCAAGAAAATAAAACAGGGAGATACCAAGACGGCGGCATAAACACCTAAACTACTGCCTCGCACAACAATTTCAAAACTACAACTAAAAGACAAAACAGACATCATCCAGAATCACAGGAAGACTGGCTGAATGGAAATTTTACAACTAGAAGGAGAGGGAAAAGCACAGAGACTCAAAAGAGCTGCAGAAGGCAGAGGTATGGAGACGCGCATGCGTGGAGAGGACTGGCAACTGAGTGCTCAGCTAGCTTTCTCAATTGGGCTTTCTCAACTGGGAGGGAGACAAAAGCTCTAGATGGCTCTGACCTCCAGTTCCATGAAAGACTATGGGGACCCAGAATGTAAGGAAAGAGAAAAGCACAGTGAGACTCACAGGACTCACACTGAGACATGAGTGCAGAGGAGGCTGGCAACTGAGTACATGGCTGGCTTTCTAAATCGGGAGGGAGACAAAAGCTCCCGACTATTCTGAACTCCAGTTCCTGGTGAGACTCTAGGGACCCAGACTCATAAGGGGAGAAACCGTACTATCTGGCAGCGGCTTTCTCTCAGAGGTGCTTGCAGCGATTACCAAGGAACACTGAGACCCAGGGGCCTCTTAGGGCAGGGGTGACGGGAAAACACTGCTATCTGCTCTGCCCTGAGATTCCGCCCCATCAAAGCTGAGCACAGATGCTTTTACAAGCCTTGTCTCATAAAAGTGTCTCCAGCATATAAATTCTCCCAGCATAGACACAGATGATACTCACAGACAATTGGCCTGGCAGTCAATTCCTCCAGGTGATACCAACAACAATCAAAGCTTAACTACAATAAGACTGTGCACACAGCCCACAAAAGGGTGAACAAAGAGTGTCCACTTCAGGTAACTGAGCCACCGGGCCCTATAGGACACCTAGCACACAAAGCCACTCTATCAACTCTGGGAAGCAGCTAATATTCAGAGACAAAGAAACAGGTCACAAATGAAAGAAATGGAAGAAACCAAACTGGATATAGAGTTCAAAACATGGTTATAAGGTTTTTCAAGAATTTTCTAGAAAAGGCTGATAAATTTAGTGAGACCCTCGAGGAGATGAAAAAGGACCAATTAGAAATTAAGCATACACTGACTGAAATAAAGAATAATATACAGAGATCCAACAGCAGACTAGAGGATCGCATGAATCAAGTTAAAGATTTGAAATACAAAGAAATAAAAAACACCCAACCAGAAAAGTATAAAGAAAAAAGAATCCAAAAATATGAAGATAGTGTAAGGAGCCTCTGGGACAACTTCAAACATACCAACATCAGAATTATGGGGGTGCCATAAGAAGAAAGAGAGAAAGATACTGAAAACCTATTTGAAGAAATAATGACAGAAAACTTCCCCCACCTGGTGAAAGAAACAGACTTACAAGTCCAGAAAGCGCTGAGAACCCCAAACAAAAGGAATTCAAAGAGGACCACATCAAGACACATCATAATTAAAATGCCAAGAGCAGCCCTAACCAGTTTGGCTCAGTGGATAGAGCATCAGTCTGCAGGCTGAAAGGTACCTACCAGGTTCGATTCTGGTCGAGGGCATGTACCTGGTTGCAGGCACATTCCCAGTAGGGAGTGTGCAGGAGGCAGCTGATCAGGGTTTCTAACTCTATCCCTCTCTCTTCCTCTCTGTAAAAATCAATAAAATATATTTAAATAAATAAATAAAATGCCAAGAGCAAAAGACAAAAAGAATATTAAAAGCAGCAAGAGAAAAACAATTACCTACAAAGAAGCACCCATATAATTGACATCTGATATCTCAACAGAAACTATAAAGGCCAGATGGGAGTGGCAAAAAATAGCAATAAATAGTAAGAACCTACAACCAAGATTACTCTACCCAGCAAAGCTATCATTCAGAATTGAAGGTCACATAAATAGCTTCACAGATAAGCAAAAGCTAAGGAGTTCATCAACACCAAGCTAGTATTATATGAAATGCTGAAAGGTATTCTTTAAGAAGAGGAAGAAAAAGGTAAAGATAAAAATCATGGACAACAAATACATATCAACAAGTGAATCTAAAAATCAAGTGAATAAAAAAATCTGATGAAAAAAATAAACTGGTGAATATAATAGAATCAGGGGCATAGAAAGGGAGTGGACTGACAATTTTCGGGGAGAAAGTGGTATGGGAGAGTGGGAAGAGACTGGACAAAAATCATACACCTATGGATAAGACAGTGGGGAGGAGTCAGGGCAGAGAGTGGGGTGGGAACTGGATGGAGGGGAGCTATGGGGGGAAAAAAGAGGAACAATTGTAATAATTTGAACAATAAAGATTTAAAAAAAAAAAAAAAAAAGCCGAAACCGGTTTGGCTCAGTGGATAGAGCGTCGGACTGCGAACTGAAAGATCCCGGGTTCGATTCCGGTCAAGGGCATGTACCTTGGTTGCAGGTACATCCCCAGTGTGTGTGTGTGTGTGTGTGTGTGTGTGTGTGTGTGCGCGCGCGCGCGCTCAAGAGGCAGCTGGTCAATGTTTCTCTCTCATCAACATTTCTAACTTTCTATCCCTCTCAATTCCTCTCTGTGTAAAATCAATAAAAATATATTTTAAAAAAAAGAAAAGAAAAAAACAGGATCAAATTATCCAAAATGTTTAAAATCTAAGCACTGTAAACAATAAAAAACTAGTAACAATTAGCAAACTTTGATTTTAGGTTTTGAAAGTAACTTACTATAAATAAAAGAGGGACACTTTTTCACTTTATCCTGTTTCTGAAAACTCTTTGCCATAAGCAGATTCCCTCCCCCCCCCCTTAAACTCATTTTTTAAAAGCAGCATGGCTTAGTCAAAACCGGTTTGGCTCAGTGGATAGAGCGGACTGAAGGGTCTCAGGTTCGATTCCCGTCAAGGGCATGTACCTTGGTAGGGGATGTGGAGGCAGCTGATCGATGTTTCTCTCTCATCGATGTTTCTAACTCTCTATCCCTCTTTCTTCTTCTCTGTAAAAAATCAATAAAATAAAATTTAAAAAAAATTTTTTTAAAAGAAGCATGGCTTAGCGGTTGAGTATAGACCTATGAACCAGGAGGTCATGATTCGATTCTGGGTCAGGGGACATGGCTGGTTTGTAGGCTCCATCCCCACTGTGGAGTGTGCAGACGGCAGCTGATCAATCAAATCACTGATGTTTCTATCTCTCTCTCCCTTCCTCTCCCTTCTTCTCTGAAATCAATTAAAAAAATAAAATAAAAGCAAAGGTAATTACAAACAAACAAAAAACAAACACAACTCCACAGGAAAAAAGTAATAGTATGATAATTTCAGGTAATTAGTTATTCAAAGACATTTCTGAGTAATAGCCTTACCTGAACATGTGATAAGTCGCTTTCCTTGAACTGTTGTAGTACAGATAGAGCTCCTTCTTCATTAAATTCCCTAAGAGCATCAATTGCTCTTTCATCAAGATCCACATAAGCTACCAATCCTACAAATTAAAAGGGGGTAACATTATTGCAACAAAAGAGATACTCTAAACTTTACTATCAATGTTTAATCAAGAACAGTTACATTCAGTACTATCACTAACACACTACATTTTTCATTTAACTATATGCATATGGGCAGCTATTAAAATACTATATAAAGGTCAAGAGTTCAAATATAAAAATAAAAAATAAAATGTCAGTAACTACAAACATGAATTTTAATCATGTTATGTCTGAAATTATCATTTGCTTTTCATATGGGGATGTAACTGTATCCCATAAAAATCTTAACCCCATTTCCCACTGCTCAGAGGTTTAAGTTAAATCTGATATACACCCATACTACAGATTAAGCATTAATATAACAAATTCCGTTTTATGTTAAGAGTGGTAACAACATACTGTATTTCCCAAGGATCAATCTTCAACTTACTATAGGGACTGTTGTAGTTGTTGCTAACCACATAAGAGTTGGGGATTGGGGGTGGGGTAAGAAAGAACCACTTTTACTTAAATATTTTGTTCTGCTCTCCAAAAAGTATCAAAAGCTTTCCCTCCTCAGCACCAAAGATAAAATGAAACACATTTGTTTATCAAAGCATCCACTTTGCTGCAGTCAGAATGTGGAAAGGCATAATTTTAAACTCTTCTACAAATGCAAGTGCAGCTTGATCAGTCAAATCTGAAAGTCATATTTTAAGGCATTTTTCTTCTTCTCAAGTGTCAAGCTGAGATTTAAAAGATGCTGTGGCATTCACAACACTGTCAACAATGACAATTTTTTTTTCAAAAGGCATTAAGGACTTTATTATGGACTTACAAGTAAACTATACAGAAAATATACACTGCATTCTGTTTATGTAGTATATTTAACTGCACACAGAACATCCACTAAGTTTCAAATATAATCACTTAAGTCTGTTAAGTGTTATATTTCCTCTCCATGTATATATAAGGACTATATTTCAGAATTGATCCTACATAAAATGGAAATATTTGGCAGATTAAAACCCTAAATCCATATGAACTAACATCAGAAGTGACTCCATTTGGAAAAACCAAAAAGAACTTTATTCCATACAGCAAGTATATTTTAAATAAATGTAATGCCACTTGCAAAGGTACCTTTAAAAAAATGTTGCAAGGATTTATTTTAAAAGCTCAAAATGAGCAACTCTAAATAATTGGAGTTTCTTTACTTGAATATTCCATTATCATCACCCAGAGCCACACCTCAGGACACCCAGCAATCCAGTCTATCAATCCAACCCTACACTTAAAACAATCAGCCATTTATCAAAAACAAAACACTCTGCAAGAGAGCATCTCTAAGCAGACCACTGCCAATACTCTATGGCAGAACGTCACATAAAGTTCCTGAGGACTGATTTTCAAATGAGACCATCACTCAGGAGTAATTTTTAGATGTCATTTTAATGTCTGAAATTATCCTTTACTTTTCATATTTAAAGTAAATTTTAAGGACAAAAAACACAAAAACAAACCCACTACATGTTACTCTGGTACTTAAGACACATTTGTGAGACAATTCAATTCTCTCTCCCAAAATCTGGATAGGCACACTAAACACTGAGGAAGGAAGTTTCCATTCATGGTCCCAAAGGGGGAAGATACATTTATTTTGAACAACACTCTCTAAGAGTAAATATTTCTCTTCCTCTTTAGAAGTTCAAACCACTTACAACCAACCATATTAAGACGTTCAAATTTGCTTAAGTACTTAACCATAGGACTTCTAGATTTTAAAAAGCAGCTATTACAAACCAAACACTTCCATATTACTGAGAGATGTGTGTTTCTATTTAATAGAAACTAGACAAGCACACTCTCAAGGAATCTGACATTTATTATCATTTCAGACAATACAGTCTAACAAATCCTCTTATTATGCCACCTAATCAGACCTAAGCTGATTTAACAATCACTTTAAGAAGCTAAACGTAGAAAAGTAAAAGCAAAATGATGACTGATTTAAATTAAGGGGGAAAAGTAAAAATTTGATATGCTGAAACATACATTTTAATTGGTGGAGTAATCTAAGACAAATTGATGCACTGTTCTGAAACAACTAAGACTGCATATTCAACACTAAGAAGGCTTCAAAATAATGAGATAAGAATATCAAAGTCAAACCCAATATGCCCTCAATGAAGGGAAAGTAACAAACATTCAGCTCTACATAGATCAGAAACAATAAGTATTATTTAACCTTAACAAAATCTATAAAATTCAAAGTGGTTTGCCCTCACTTTCATAACCAGTCAGAAACAAGAAATGCATATTATACCTGTCTGAAATATTTCATCAAGTCTTTCTGCCACCTTCTGTGGGAGGCCTGCCTCTATCAGTGTCTTGTAGTGTTCTGTGTGAGTTACACTGGAAGTATCCATTGGTTCTTCCTCTTCTTTTAACTGTACCGCATTACCATTCACCTGATTAGCCATTTTATTATGCTGCTGGAAAAAATTCAGGAGCTATATTACATTAAGCCAAAAATAACTAGTTTGTAGGACAATGCATGATTTATCTAAACTAATTTGTATACATGCTGCTAATAACCTCTATCAAAATAATATTTTATGCCTTTTGTGATGTATCTGACCTAAATTTGCAATAACAATCCTGTAAAACCATAGAAAATGTACATGGAAGCGTTAGCTCTTTAAGGAACTTCATGTACACTAGGTTAAATAAAGGCTTAAATTTACTTCGGTAGAATCGCTGATTAACAAAAGCAGCTGTTGTGTCCTGACGAGTATATCGACAAATCACCGGAAAATCCTAAAAAGCCCCTCAGCACTCAATTCTTATACCGTTTTTTAAAGTTTGGTTTAAAAACATAATGAACACCCACACACCACTTTAGCAAGGTTTAAGAACATTCAGATTTTCCTAGCTCTACTTCAAATCCAAGATAAGTGTGAAATAAATGCCCTGATATCTCTGATTCAACACACTGGTGGTTTGGTTTCTCTGCCTCACATAAAACAAATAAAAAAACACACAACTTGACATTATTTTTTCTTCTAAAATTAATTTGCTATTCCCATTCACAGATTTAAAAGAAAAAATGACCAAGTTTAAAAGCTAACAAATTGTTTAAGTCCACATAAAATAAAGTGAGCTATAAATGAGGTTGCTTCATATTTTAAAAAAATCATGAGTACATATTGAACTTTACACATCAGTAAAATAAAGCTGCAAAAACATAATAAAGAATGGACAACTAATTACTTCCAAATAATTTCAACAAACATTACTTCTCTAGGAAGGTCAGCTGTCTCAGATTAACCTACCCAAATCATTTTGCATATCCAACCTGTATGTAATGTTGAAAAGAACCAACTCCCTAAAGAGAGAGATTAAATCATAAAACCATACAAAGCCAGTCAGTCTCTATATTGCCTCAAGGCTAAGTTTGTCTGTGGTGAAATTACAATGTGATGAAGATAATAAGCATCAGGATGCAGATATTACAACAAATATTGAAATAAAGGGCATGAAGGTGGATCTCAAGAAAAAAACCCTACTTTTACTGATGAAACTCAAGATACCTAGTCATCTATAAAGAAAATACAAGTTTCCTAAAATCACTACAACTCCTAAAATAACTACACTTCCAGATTGCTTATCAAAGACTATGCAAATGCACCAGATGCAGTTCTCTGACTTAAAACAACTTTTTCAATTCAAAGTCCACTAATATTTAATTGAAGTTAAAGAAAAAGGAAGGAAGATTGAGAGGAAGGAGGTAATAGAGAGTAGGAAGAGAGGAAAATGCTGAGAGGGTTACTCTGAAATGAGATAATACATGACTTCTTATGATTACAAATCATTATTAAGACTTGAGAGCCCACTAATGTTTATACAGGCACAGACTTTGTGGTTCAACTCTGGATTGATAAACGTTTCTCAAGGCTAGCCTCAAATTCTGATGAACTGGCACACTTCTGACCACACAAAATGACATAAAAGTGTAAGATGAATACGTTTACTGATTAATAACAACCTATTTCCATAAAGATGCATCCTAAAGTCCAAAGTCTCTTTGTGAATATATAGTTCTATTTCCCCATGCTCCCCAACCCCCAAATACGACCATAATAAGATCATCACAACTCAAACGCTCTCATCAGTATCACAAGAACCTTACAGTATTGCATCTGGAAATACTATCAGTCACAGAAAACAAGCAAATTTTTAACAGAAAAGGTCAATGAACATCTGTTAAGGTGGTGTGTTTTTTAAAGTACATGTAAAGCAAAAAAGAAAAGTTGCATAGTAAGGACAAGACAGAAATATTTATGACTACTATTTTATTGCAAAGGCCCATTGCAAGTTGATCCAGAAATGGTTGAAATTTTCAACAACAAAAATAATTGTAAACTTCAACCAAAAGATGTAAAGTTAAGTAGAATCTAGAAAAGAAAACCTTTCAGATCACGGAAAAACCTTTCTCTTCAAACCAAATACCATGTGCTCATTAAAAAAAAAAAAAAAAAAAAAAAAGACTTTTTAGGTCGCGTGAGGCCACACCTAAAAAACTCTTATGTCAATTCGACACAAATGCCACACAGCCAAATTCTGATGCAGCAAATATACTAACGTAACTGTAGCCATTTGATCTAAGCATTTTTTATCAAAAAGCAAAAATTTTTCATTAAGATTTAAAAGGGCTGTTGGGAGATTTGGGAAGTCAGCACTAGCCCCTCCCTGACTTTTCCTAAACATCTCTGTGCACATTCTTCACATTAAGAGACGGGTTGTTAGAAGAACCAACGAAATGAAAACTAACGGTTATCTCAGGGTTTAATGTGTCAATCCCTCATCCTACGACTGACTCAGGAGACGTAAATTCGGCCTCTTGAATACGGCAACATCTCACACAGCGTGAAAGGATGGACCTTTCAAGAACACAGAGGCTCTAAGTTTTCACGTTGGCGCTATGCTTACTGCCGTTTGAGAAAGAGAATCTCCTTTCCAATGTGGCGCGCCTCAAACATCCTTAGAATTTATGTATTTCAGGCGCCGCTTGAAGCCTCAGGTTCACGGCCCCTAGAAGTCATTTTTTCCTTCAAATCTCCACTCGCACATGCAGAATGGGGATGGGGAAGAGGGTCCCTCCACACACCGGCCTGCGGCGTCTGCTCCCACAAAAGTTTTTCCTCAGCTCAAGATGCCCGGGGTTTGCATCCCGCTCTCCGTCCACCCCACCCCTCCTCGCCCGTCCGGACCCTCAGCACACCCGGCTCGTGGCGAGGGCGGCTGAGGAGGGAGCGAGGCGGCTCCGGCAGGGAGAGGCGACGAGGCTTCGGGCGCCTTAGGCCGCCCGCCCGCCAGTCAGCCAGCCGGGCCGCGTGGAGCGGCGGGCGGAGGCGGGAAAAACACTGCCGACCGCGACAAGCCGCGGGAGGGCGCCCGGCGGGCCGGACCGCGGGCCGGAGGTCGGAGGGGCCGAGGGAGAAGAAGCGAAGGCGAGGACGCACCTCGCGGGGCTAGGCCCTCAGCCGTGCGGCGGGACGACACAGAAGCCGCCCCTAACCCATCCCCATCCCCACCCCCACCCCCGGGGCCTCGGTGCGGAAAAAACGAAACTGGGGACCGGGTGGCGAGTCCCGGGTCGGGTCGAATCGGGGCTCCCGGCCCCTCCCCCCACGGGCCTGGGCGAGACTCACCCGGGAAGAGAAGGGGCCGGCGGCCAGGCCCGTGAGAATCAGCGCGAGGCGCTTTGAAAACGACTAGAAATGGCGCGCGCGCCACCCCCTCCCCCCGTCATGGACAGAGATGCGATCCCGGCAGCACGCGGGGTTTCCCGGAACTGCTTCCAGGGACTCCGAGTTGCTGGCCAATCACAGCGCTCAGTGGTCTGAGAAGCAGGTCCAGTGACCAATGGGAGCGAGAGGAGGAGGGCCTCGCCGAACGGCTCGGGAGCCAATCGATAAGGCCCTCGGCTGAGCCAATGAGGTAACTCAGCGCCGCCGGCCGTGGCGCCTCCGGGGCGGGGGCAGAAACACAAAGGGGTCTGTGGTGGAGCCCGGGGTACAGCCGCGTCTGCGGGGCACCAGGCCCGGCGGGCCAAGGCTGCCCTCTGCTCGCCAGCCGCCGACGGGTGGTCCAAAGCCTAGGCCTCGCGCCTCGTGGCCGTCTCCGGAACCCCGCCTCCGCCGGCCCCGCCGGCCCGCTCCGTCGCGGCCCTTCGCCCGGTTGCAGCGTCCCGACTCCCCGCTAGCGGCGCCGCCGCCGCCTCCGCCGCTCGCACCAGACACGCCCACCGCCACGCGGTCGGGCCTCCCTTTCGGTCATCTTTAGACTCTGGTTAGACCCCCATTGGGGGGATGATTGTGGCTGGACGTTTGGGGGATTTAGTGTAGAAAATCCTGTCTCACTGGCCCTCTTCCACACATGGCTGGGAGCCGCTCAGGATGTGAGAGATCCAATGGGCAACACTCAAAAGCAGCGCTACACACACACACACACACACACACACACACACACACACGATAGAGCAGGGACTTTTTTTTCCACAGGGTTTGGAGTCCATTAGTATTTATAAAGTAGGACAGATGTGTGCATCCGTGAAGCCTCTTCCTTGCTGGGAAAAGGGCTTATTCCCAAAGGAGGCTAATTCCCGTTATCTCTAAGCCTGTTTCTCACCATCCACCCCTCCTAGCTTGGTTCCCTAGCTTCGCCTTAGGCCAAAACTGTCTCATCCCACAGACCTCCAAGCTCACTTAGGGTAGAGCCAGTCCTTTCCCTATCCTGAACCCAACCTCCAATGACCCACCCTTCTTAGGAAGTGGAGAAGGTTAAGCGATGGTCTGCAGCATTTCCAGATAGTCCTCTAGTATCGTTTAAATGTCTCAGACCCGCCCTAGCTAGTTTGGCTCAGTGATAGAGCGCGGGCCTGCTGACTCTGACTGCAGCATCTGGGGTTCCATTCTGGTCAAGGGCACATCACATGCTTGGGTTTGTGGACTTGTTCCCCAGTAGGGGGGCGTGCAAGGGCAGACGATCCATGATTCCCACCATTGATGTTTCTATCTCTTTCCCTCTCCCTTCCTCTCTGAAATCAATAAAAATATATTTAAAAATTAATAATTAGTATTAATTAATTAAAAATAAGTATTAAAAGCCGGGACCAGTTTGGCTCAGTGGATAGAGCGTCGGCCTCAGGACTGAAAGGTCCCGGGTTCAATTCCGGGCAAGGGCATGTACCTGGTTGCGGGCACATCCCCAGTAGGGGGCGTGCAAGAGGCAGCTGATCAATGATTTTCTCTCATCGATGTTTCTAACTCTCTATCCCTCTCTCTTCCTCTCTGTGAATAAATCAATAAAATACATTAAAAAAATAAGTATTAATAAAATGTTCAGACCCTACCTACCAAAACTTATTGAAAAAAAGGAACAATTGTAATAATCTGAACAATAAAGATGTATTTAAAAA